ACTTGTTGGTTTTATCTTGCCATACATCCTAATTACTAACATTTGTATAAAACAATAAAAATGGAGAAAATAAATATCCTACACTATTACAACCATATTGAATAACAAGAAAATATGAAAAAAAAGCATAAATAACATAAAAAGAGAGAAAAAGTGAGTCCTTCGATCCAGGAAGTAGGCTCCTTCGATTCACCCTCCTTTGACTCCTTTCAATTGGGGCTGGGGATCAGTGTGAGCACCCTTCAATTACACCCTTTTCCCTTCTTTCGATTGGGGACTGGAAGTCAGTGTGAACATCCTTCGTTTCTCCCTTCTTGCTCCTTCGTTTGGACTGTGAAGCAATATGGGCCTGCAAAGCAGTATGAGTGCGCATCCTCCGTTCACGCCCTCTTTGTCTTTCATTTGGGACTGTGAAGCAGTAAGGGGCGAAGCCTAAGGATTCGTTTCACACAAAACTTTTTCTTTCGTTTGGGGTCTATACAGGTTAGTTTTAACGTATACTTGGACAAGAAAAGAATGCAATCAAAAGGACAGAAATCAAAAGTGAACAAATGTTATTTACATGCTTGAAACGAAAGGGTTAAGGTCAGAGTGACTTACCTTGCTTGACACTAGAGTGTATGTGTTGGACCTTGAGTGGCTCACCTAATTGCTCCTGGATTCAAAGGAAATAAACAAGTGTGGTGTTTCTTTGACTGGATTCGAAGACCAAGAAGAGTGGAGTTGTATTTGTTGTTTCTGGATTCGAAGGAAAAGAACAAGTATAGCGTTTCTTTTGTTGGATTCGAAAAAAAGAACAAAGTGTGGGGTTGCTTCTAGATTCAAAAGGGAAAAGAAACAAGTGTTGTGTTTCTAGTGTTGGATTCGAAAGGAACAGAAACAAGGGTATGTTCTTTTGATTCTGGGTTTGAGAGTGTATTAAGTGTTTGATGATTTTCACACAATCAAAGTTTCTCCAGCTACCAAAATCCTCTGGATGTGTTGTCCATCCCCCTAAGATGTGTTATGGAACATCTTATTTATAGATGAAGTTTGCTGAGATTTGGGAGGGAAAACAAAAGAATTTGAATAAAATGAGTAAGCTATTTTTGTAGCTTTCGAGGTGCAGTATTTGTATGCCAAATTGGTGCACATATAAGAGAAGTGTAGCAGGACTGCTGTGCAGCAGTTTTGGAGTGTTGTGGCCAGTGCATCAGGCTTGGACTTGCAGCGCATTAGACTTTGGTCAGCAAACCTTTGATTAGACTCATCAAGAGACCAAACATTAATTGTGTTCTTCGAATGGACCTTTTGTATGTTCATTCGAATGCAAGAAATTCATGTTCTTTGGATGGGCCACCAAATATGTCCTTTAAATGGGCCACCAAATATGTCCTTCGAATGGGACATCCAGGTATGTCTTGCAGGTCCTTCGAATGGACCATCAAATATGTCCTTCGAATAGGACATCCAGGTATGTCTTGCAGGTCCTTCGAATGGGCCACCATAGTGTAGAAACTATGCATGTCGAAATAAAATTCCCAAGGGAGATACTGCCCAGTCGAAGTAGGAATCAAGCTTGCTCAACAGAAATCAAATGCTCAATCGAAATAGGAATTAAACTTGCATGCAGGTAGTTATCAAGACAAACCTGCAGAGGCCCTTGCTCAATCGAAGCAGGCACACAGGTAACTATTGTGTTGTGAATCAAGCAAGCATGTAAGGCCAGTAGTGCAATCAAAGCTTGCATGCAGGAGGTCCCTGCCTGGTGAATCAAAGCAATCATATAGGATACAATGGTGCAATAGAAGGATGTATACAAGAAGCCTAAATGCCCAAACGAGGCTTGCATGCAGGAGGTCCCTACATGGTGAATCGAAGGAAACCTTCAGAAGGCCATTGCCTTCTGAATCGAAGGAAACTTTCAAAAGGTCATTTCCTTCTGAATCGAAGGAAACTGTTTCAAATGGAAACCAAATCCAGTCGAAGCTAAGCATGAATCGAAGCAAGCTTATTTTTCTTCAATTTTGTTAAAAAATCAAACTTATCTGCTTTTCTCTTTCAATAGTTTCCTATTTGAACTGATGCTTGGAAATTCAATATGATCCAATTGCACTTGTGCAGCCTTGACCCAGTAGAAATTTTGTGAGAAAATCTTGAGAAGTGAGAGGGCAAAATTTGGGGTACAACACGTTCCATTTTGTTTAGGTTTTGTTCCTTTTCCATTACTACTATGTTCCTTTTCTCTAAAGGGCTTGACTCCCTGGGCGTCACCAAGCTAGCGCTTGTAACCAATCTGTGATCTACATAATCGCAATTTCTGCACAGAGTGCGATTTTGCACTTCAATCCACATTTTAGTCGCACAAAACCAACCAAAACCTACAGTGCCTTACCGTTTTCTATATTCAACTTAAGTGCATTATATCTTACGATATTCCATAATTCTCTTAAGTACATCGTACCTTACAGTGTTCCTTATTTATTCCATCTCTCATCAATATGTGCTTATGTGTTTGACCCTGTAGGTTCTTCTGACGTTGGAAATTATATTAAATCACATATTTTATATAATAAGCATTGAGCGGTATCTAGCAACACATCACTACTACCCAAATCACGAAAATACCACGTGATTTAACAAAGACCTTATCATGATAATGCTTGTGTGTATATTTACTCTTTTCCCCTCATGTCTATATTAAACGCAAGGCATAAACCATGTCACCCTTATCCAATTCATTATTGGACCTTTAGACATTTCTTTTGTTATGTAGGATAGAAAAATCTCATCTAGGTCACTCATGTCTTTCAACATGATTTGTGGAATACCCATCAACTGTCTTTATGGTCCTCTAGCTACTGACAACATTTGATCAACAATAAAGTACTCGATTCCACATCTAGAGTCCATACTGTTTTTAGGTCAAAGGGTGGTATACACCACTATCACGATGAGAATAACTTAAGACACTTTCCATAACATTCTATGTAGTATTCTCATAGAGGGTCAATCTAGTATGAATATTAATCCTAACACTGATACCTATATGGAGACTTGGTAACTCTTTATTCATGATCCATGAGATGCGATCATCAACCTATCCATATAATAGTATATATGCTTTAATATTATCCCACTTCACAATAAAGTTCGACTATAAATACTTTAAAAGTAGTGTCCTTATGTTTAATGAGATCTAATGATTAAGTCACACTTAATATTTCATTAACAGACTAGCTATTGTAAGGACTTCATTATTTTAGAAAAACAAACATGATAGATAAATAAATGCCTTTTAATTATTAATAAATAATTCGATACAAATACCAAGTTCTAATAAAACTATTGGCCCATGGGGCTTACACCAACAATCTCCCACTAGCATTAGAGCTAATCAGGTATACACCTGATACCCATAAATCTAGTAAATACAATGAGTCATATACTTTTTCTGGTGTGATTTACAAGTAAGGAGAGCTCTCTATTTATAGGAGAGAAATCTGGCTAAAAAATGAAAACCATATATGTGCTTTTTAATTCTTATAATCGATTATGCATATCACCTAATTGATTAATACCATCATTGGAGAGATTTATTGATTAAGATCATAAGAGATTTGAGCGAATGTCACTTTACAGTAGGTGTTATCCTTAAGAGATTGACTTTGATATGTTGATCTCATAAACATAACAACTTATTCATTACTGTAGATGAAGATTTGATCTCATAAAAATTGAGTGGATAATCTTAATTAAGTATACAAATAAAAAAATTGAAAATGAATTAGGAGATTTTTAGAAATTAATTAGTTAAAGTTAAATTAGATAATTAGTGTAGCAAAAAATAAATTATATATATAGATGCATATTGAAGAGGAAAAATTAGAAGCGGTTTGGGCAAAGCAATAGTTTTAGTCCCACATAGGCTGGTTTGTTATTTTTTGCTGTGTTTATATACAAGAGATACTCACTCATAGCTTGTCCCTTCGGGGACATCCGATAAAATTGGAACGATACAGAGAAGATTAGCATGGCCCCTGCGCAAGGATGACACGCACAAATCGAGAAATGGTCCAAATTTTTTTGCGATTTTTTCCCTCGTTCAGGTTTTGTTGTTCTGCACTTCGCTTTCGATTATTACGTTCCTTTTTGTTTAGGTTTTGTTCCTTTTCCATTATTACTACGTTCCTTTTCTCTTTCATTTTGAATTTAGGGTTTTCTTTTCCTTTATCATGAAGATTTTGAACAATGAACAATGCAGGTTGTGTCCATCATGAAGATTTTGAACAATGCAGGTTGTGTCCATCATGAAGATTTTGAACAATGCAGGCAGGTGCTGGTGTTATGTTGAATTAAATTCTTGTTCTGATTTGGTTATTATACAAACTCTTATTCTATCATTCTTATGCATACTTTCTTTTCACTCTACTCTAATGTCTAATCAAATGCGCTTTCAATTCAATTCTGTGTTATAGAAAACATCAAATTCACCATATACATATCATAACATAGCTTTCAATTCTATTTAATTCTGTGTTACATGCAAATTCACCATATACATATCATAACATAGCTTTCAATTCAATTTAATTCTGTGTTAGATGCAAATTCACCATATACATAGCTTTCAATTCAATTTAATTCTGTGATACATCAAACAATAGTAGATTGCCAATTTGTGTTTCTATCTCTTTCATTTCACCCTTTTTCCCAGGACAACATTTACAACATGCCTACCAATTAATTCAAAGTCAAATGAGATGCCTAGCTAGCTTAAACTTAATGCTTTGATTTTTTACGGATACGCGTTACACATGTCACATGTTTTCCTCATTTTGATAATACGGTTCAGTGCCGACATATATAGCTAGCTACTAAAAGTTCTGCTGTTGTGTGAATTCTAGCGTAGATGGATAATGCTCAAGTGGATTGGATACAAATCATCATAATTGTTGTAGGGAGGCAACATGGAACTTTCATCCAAGGCTTGGTCAGCACTCAAAATATATCACTAGTACATGTTTGAACCCACAAGCAGCAGACATACCGCATATATTTTAAGTTCAGCAGTCAGTCATAAGTATTTCAAGTTCTCAACTTCCACGAGTTTCTAACTTTTAGGAGCTTTACGATTCTGATGACTATTTGATTCTTAGTTAACCAAATATTGCGGCGTGCTTTCGGGCATCAACTTCGACAACAAGTCCGGACATATGAAGAGCACGAGAAGTCTTTGTGATTATGGTCTCCACCACCTTCTTTAACCATCACTAGATAAATGCAACATATTATGTGATCAATTATTGGTATGTTTTTAAATTTTATTTCTACTGACTTGCTTCCAAAATTCTATCATGTGTCAATCAAGTTGAAAACCTTTGCAGGTTAACGAAAGTTTTTTCCTTTGAAGAGTTTTTGTTTTCAGTTTTGTTGTATCATGTATGGCGTGATACATGGCTTGTGTTTGTGCATGTAATGAAAGTGTTTAAGATGACACAATAAACAACATATGAATTGAATTCACAAGAATATAGTTTGATGGTATTCTCATTTCAGATTTCAATTTAAAAGAAAACATAACAAAATTCCTCAGGTACAAAAACTGTCTCAACTAGTCAGTCCTACACTATTCTATGTTATCAGACAAATATGACCTTTTTATTCACCATGAATTAATTATAGGCCGTTTAAGCGAGATGTTGTATGTAAGAAGACTTCTTCCTTGCAGGGAATCGTAAGACCGCCCATTGGATGATAGTAACCAAATTCCTCTTCAGATTGACTAAGCAATTCTTGAAATAAAGGCTCGTTTAAGAATGATATTGGAATCAAGAACCTCCTCGCTTTCTCTCCAACATACACTGCAAGATAGCCTTTTGGAACTTCCACTTCTTTGCTAGATGATTGGCTTGCACTGAATGATGATCGTCTAATACCAGGTAAACGAAAACCCATTCTTGTTTTTGTTTCTTGACAATAGAATGATCTCAAAGAAGTAGTAGAAGAAAGAAGTGAACTTGATTTCTGATGCTTCAAAGTATGAATGGTTTGTGTTACTTGTAAACTCACTAATGAATATATATATATAGAAAACCAATTGTATGGTGAATGAGTTATTGAATGTGGTTTAGTGGGAGCCATGGCTCATTAATGGTCACATGGCACTGTCTTGAAGGCTTTCATAGAGGACTGTACGAAATGTGAGATTACATGCCCCACCTTTTGGAAAATTAGCCTATGAAAGAGACTTGAGATATCTAACTGAATATATTTTCAGACAAGTTCTAAACACATCAAATATCTTGTTCTTTTTTTTTTAAGACAAGTGATATCTACCAGTAATTTAAATCCAATCAATTAACAATGAAATCTTCTTCAAAAATTATGCAAATTTATAGGGATAACATGAGGGATCACCACATGGTATTGTCTTGGACGGTCAGGTTATAGCTTGCTGCTTGCCCCACCTTCTGAATAGGCAACCCATTAGATAGGCAACCCAATTAAAAGTCAAAAATGAGATGGCTATGTTAAACTTAATGCTTTGATTTATTATGGATACTCTTATTTTTGTAGACGCGCATTAGACATGTCACATGTTTTCTTCATATTGGTAACACGGCTCAGTGCTGACATATAGCTAGCTACAAAAAAGGTCTGATGTTGTGTGAATTCTAATATAGATAGATATTGCATAGTTGGATGCAAATCATCATAAATGTAGGGAGGTAACTCGGAACTTTCATCAAAGGCTTGTTCAGCAGTCAAAATTTATCAGTAGACATGTTTAAAACTCCAAGTAGCAGACATACTGATATATTTATGTTCAACAGTCATAGGTGTCGCCAAACTATCTTTTAAGTGTCAAACTAGTCAAACTTCTCCATTTAAAATTGATAAACACACATAAGTTTGGATGAGTTTCTAGCTTTAAACACCTGTGTCAGACTTATCAATCCCGGATAGCGGAGCTTCACGTTATAGGATAACAACTATGACCTCAATCCATATGAAGAGTGTGGGTAGTTCACGTGATTATGGTCACCACCACCTTCTTCAATTATTTGTATATTCTTCTTGTCTTCATTTCATTTCAATGCTAATGACTTGCTTCAAAACTCTAATAGTTGATAAGCTATCTTATAGCTAAGCATCCAATTTTTACATATTCCTTATGCTTCTGATACTTACTGCTGCTTTTGAAGTATCCGACTATTTCAAGTGCTCAACTTAAATGAGTTTCTAACTTTAAGGAGCTTTACGTTTGAGATGACTATTTGATTCTTAGTTAACCAAAAAACCTTTAAATGGTATTAAATTAAATGACTTCTATGTTCTTAATATGTTACTAATTCAAGAACAAAAAGAAAAACAAAATCTTTAAAAAAGACAAAAATTCAATCAAAATGAATGTTGGGTTTGTCAATGGAAGACTTTTCATTATTGGATCAAAAAGTGGTAAGCCCTGGTTTTACCAAAAGTATATTTTTAATTTGAGTATACTAAATGCAAGGAGGTTGTGATAGTCTTTTGATTAACAAAATACATAATATACACTTTTATGAGTAGTGGAGGGCTGCTAGGAATTTAGAGTAGGGATGTCAACAGGACAGAGAATGTGCGGAGGATGCTTTCCCGCTTCCCATTATTTTCCTCATCCCCATCCCCGGTCCCCGCTACAGGGGATTATTTTTCTCCATCTCCATTCCCGCAGATCCCCACAGAGAATCGGAGATTGAATCTTAAAAAAATTTCTGTACTTTTTGATTAAAACTATGACACTACTATTTCGTGATTTTTTACTTTTTTTAAACTTATATTTTGTATCTTTCTTTTTTTTTTTTTATAAAAAAAATAAAACACATGTTACATTAATAACAAAAAAATACAAAAGCACTTGTTGTTACAAAAACATAACCACTAAAACATGTTACTAATTGAAGTATAGTGAAGTTGATGAGTAATTACCTCATGAACAATGAACGAAGGATAATGGTTGTTGTGATGATGATGAGAACATAGAAAATGAGGAATGGAGGAGACAAAGAGAATTAAGAAGAGAAGCATAGGAGATTGTGTGTACACTACATATAATGAGTGCACATTTTAGGGTTGGATACCTGGATAGTGAAACAATACGTTACTCAATGAAACAAAAAATAAAATGATTTATTGACGACTTTTTATTTCCAAATATCTATAAAAGTTAAATAATATGGTCAAGGTCGGGGAATCCGTGGGGTGGAGGGTACTTCCCTGATCTCCTCCCTGAAGTGTCATCAGAGGAACTTTTTCCTCCATCCCCGTCTCGACGGGGAAAAATCTCCGATTTTAGAGCTCCGTACAGATAATTTCCACGTAGATCCCCGTTAACAAATGCAAGTTAACATCCCTAATTTAGAGTAAAGGGTTGCCATTCATTGCGTGCTTTCGGACTACAACTTCGAAAACAGGTCCATGTGAAGAGCACAAGAAGTCTTTGTGGTTATGTCTTCACCACCTTCTTCAAGCATGACTAGAAAAATACAACATATTATGTGAACTGTTGATATTTATAAATATATAATGTTAAGAATATTTGTATGTAGAATAGTCCCACATCGATTATATAGTGTAATTAGTTGTAATCTCTCTCTATATAATAAAGTCTCTAGTGCTTTCATAACACACGGTTTAACCTAAATGTCTCTTAGCCTCTCCTAATTCAATATGGTATCTAGAGCCTTCTAAGAGGCAATTCTTCGCCGTACTTTACCCGGTTGACCCACTGTCTTCCGGTGAGAAATTTTCTTCTGTAAACCGTGTCATCATTCGATTTTTTTTTTCTTTCTTCGGAGGACTACTGTTCACCGCCGATGTCACTGTCCACCGCTGCTGTCACTGTTCACCGCCGCCACACTGTTCACCGCCGCCGCTACTGTTCACGAATTTTTTTTCTCTCTCGGAAAACCGCCTTCCTCCTCCGGTTCCAGATACGCCCTCGGTTTTCATTTTCGACTCACAAAAAGTCGTACTCTTGTTCAAACAGTCCCGGTTGCTGTGTTTTAAGTCATGGGAGATGCTGATTCTATCTCGTTTACTAAAGTTCCGCTTATCCCATGTGAAAAACTAACCGGATCAGCCAACTATAACATATGGGCTCTTGCATCTCTTGGCAACAATCAGAATCGCCTTCGAGGATGGTCATCCAACTCCAATCCTCGTCCTAAGTGTGACCATTGTAACCGGCTTGGACATACTATTGATCATTGCTGGAAGTTGCATGGCAAACCTCCACGGCAGGTAAATGCAACTCAAATTGATAACCCAGACACTATGCAGACTTCACCTTCTCTTCAGAATCCTACGCCAAGCTACGAGGATTTTCTCAGGTGGTGTCAGACTAACCAGACCTCTGGTTCCACGGCTTCGATTGCACACACTGGTAATTCATCTGTTTGCGTCTCTCAATCATCTCCTCTTGGTCTTTGGGTCCTCGACTCTGGTGCGTCTGATCATATTACCGGTAATAAAAATCTTTTCTCTTCCCTTTCTACCTCTGGTTTCTTACCGAGTATAATTGCCGCAAATGGTTCTCAAACCCGATCCCAAGGGATCGGTACTGTTCAAATTCTACCATTTCTCTTTGTTACTTCTGTCCTATATGTACCTAATTGCCCATTTAATCTACTGTCAGTCAGCCGTTTAACTCGTTCCCTTAATTGTTCTATCACTTTTACTAACAGTGATGTTATTCTGCAGGATCGAAGTTCGGGACAGACGATTGGCGTCGGATGTGAGTCTCAAGGCCTCTACTACTTCTCTACGTCATCTACCACATGCTCCAGCACAGATTCTCCACTCACTATACATGCGCAGTTAGGTCATCCAAGTCTTCCCAAGCTACAAAAGTTGGTGTCCAGTTTATCTAAATTATCCACTTTATAGTGTGAGTCTTGTCAATTAGCGAAACATTCTCGTAGTCACTTTCATGATCGAGTCAATAAACGGGCTGCGTCTCCTTTTGCTTTAGTTCACTCCGATGTTTGGGATCCATCGTGTACTGTGTCTACTTTTGAGTATAGGTATTTTGTAACATTTATTGATGATTTTTCACGTTGCACGTGGCTATTTTTAATGAAAAACAGATCTGAATTATTTTCTATTTTTGAACAATTTTATCGAGAAATAAGAACCCAATTTGGTTTGTCCATTCGTACCTTAAGAAGTGACTATGCACGTGAATATTTATCCCAACAATTTCAAACTTTTATGTCATTCAATGGTATTCTACACCAAACATCTTGTCCTCATACACCTTAACAAAACGGGATAGCCGAACGCAAAAACCGGCATCTCGTAGAAACCACCCGGACTCTACTTTTTCATGGTAATGTCCCTCTCAGATTTTGGGGGGATGCTGTGCTCACGGCGTGTTATCTCATAAATCGCATGCCCTCATTTGTCCTTAATAATAAAATCCCTCCTTCAATCTTGTTTCCAAACTCTCCTCTTCACCCAATTCCTTGGTTATCATCGATCCCAAAAGGGTTATCGTTGCGACTCACACACTCTGCAATGATACCTGATATCAGCCGATGTTACCTTCTTCGAGTCTGTGCCATATTTTGCATCCACCCAAGTCACTCCGGAGCCCCTTCAGGAAAGTACTCCCACACCTCTTCGGGACGTCCCATTTCCCATTATTCCCCATCATTCTAGGGAACCTGTCCCACGAGAAACCCCTACGGTTGACCCCCCACTTCTCGCCCACTTCAAACATATCAGCGTCGTAAACCAACGTCTGTCATACCTGTCCCTGAGATTGTACATGTCCCTGAGGTCGTACCTGTCCCTGAGGTCATTGCCGACTCTCCTCCGACGTTATCGCCATCACCGGATTCGATCCTGTAACCTGAGTCTGATCTTCCGATTGTCCTTTGCAAAGGTATACGTCAAACACGAAATCCTTCTCCACATTATATTGATTTATGTTATCATCGTCTTTCCTCTTTGCAGTATACTTGTTTGTCCTCTTTGTCTTCTGTTTCTATTCCTAAATCTCCAGGTGAAGCATTATCTCACCCTGAGTGAAAGCAAGCAATGATTGATGAAATATGTGCTCTTCAAAGCAGTGGTACCTGGGAACTGGTTCCTCTACCCACTGGAAAATCTTTAATAGGTTGTCGTTGGCTTTATACAGTGAAGGTTGGTCCAAATGGTAAGATTGATCGTTTTAAAGCTCTCTTGGTAGCCAACGGATCCACTCAGATTTTTGGGTTGGGTTATAGTGATACCTTCTCGCCTGTAGCCAAGATGGCATCTGTTAGACTTCTTCTAGCCATTGCAGTCATTCGACATTGGCCTCTTCATCAACTTGACATCAAAAATGCATTTTTACATGGTGATCTTGAAGAGGAAGTATATATGGAGCAATTACCTGGGTTTGTTGTTCAGGAGGAGTCATCGAATATGGTTTGTAGGCTACACAAGTCTCTTTATGGTCTTAAGCAATCTCCGAGAGCTTGGTTTGGCAGATTTAGCACTGTAGTACAACAATTTGGTATGGTCCGTAGTGAAACTGACCATTCTATCTTTTATCGTCACTCAGTCCAAGGGTGTATTTATCTTATTGTGTATGTAGATGATATTGTCATAACTGGTAGTGATGAGTCGGGAATACTCCAGTTGAAACAACATCTTTCAAATCAATTTCAGACAAAGGATCTTGGTAAACTCCGGTATTTCTTGGGTATTGAGGTAGCCTAATCTAAAGATGGTTTGATGATTTCTCAGCGGAAATATGCTATGGATATTTTGGAAGAAACAGGTTTGTTGAACGCTAAATCAGTTGATACTCCTATGGATCCAAGTGTTAAACTACTATCTAATCAGGGGGAGCCTCTATCAGACTCGGAAAGGTATAGGAGATTGGTTGTAAAGTTGAATTATCTCAGTCACTCGTCCAGACATTTCTTTTGCAGTCAGTGTGGTAAGTTAGTTCTTAAATTTCCCTTGTCAGGAATACATGGATGCTGTTATCCGGATTCTAAGATACATCAAATGTGCTCCAGGAAAAGGTTTAGTGTATGAAGATAACGGACATACTCAGACAATTGGATACTCTGATGCTGATTGGGCAGGGTCACCAATTGATAGACGATCCACCTCTGGGTATTGTGTACTTGTTGGAGGAAATCTTATATCCTGGAAAAGTAAGAAACAAAATGTAGTTGCAAGATCAAGCGCCGAGGCAGAGTATAGGGTCATGGCAATGGCAACATGTGAACTCATTTGGTTAAAACAATTGCTCAAAGAACTTAAAATTGAAGAAGCAAGACCAATGACACTTGTGTGTGATAATCAAGCTGCATTACACATTGCTTCAAATCTAATCTTCCATGAGAGGACCAAACATATTGAGATAGACTGTCACTTTGTCAGAGAGAAGATCGAATCTGGCGACATCGTCACAAGCTTTGTCAACTCTAATGATCAATTGGCAGATGTGTTTACAAAATCTCCGCGAAGCCCCAGAACTAATTATATATGTGGCAAGCTTGGTGCATTTGACTTATATGCTCCAGCTTGAGGGGGAGTGTTGACATTTGTAAATATATAATGTTAAGAATATTTGTATGTAGAATAGTCCCACATCGATTATATAGTGTAATTAGTTGTAATCTCTCTCTATATAATAAAGTCTCTGTAGTGCTTTCATAACACATGGTTTAACCTAAATGTCTCTTAGTCTCTCCTAATTCAATATGAACAATTCTTATTTTGAGTTTTGTTGTATATCATGTATGGCGTGGTAATATATACTACTTTTGAATTACCATATCTATTAGTACATAATAGACCATATCCATAAAATTGGTACATGGCTTGTGTTTGTGAATGTAATGGAAGTATTTAAGATGGCACAATAAACAACATATGAATTGAATTCACAAGAATATAATTTGATGATATTCTCATTTCAAATTTCCATTTAACGGGTAACATAACAAAACTCCTCATGTGTACAAAAATTGTCTCAACTAGTCAATCCCACACTATTCTATGTTATCATATAAATATGACTTTTTATTCAATATGAGTTAATTGTAGACCATTTAAGCGAGATGCTGTATGTAAGAAGACATCTTCCTTGCAGGGAATGGTTAGACCACCCATTGGATGAGAGTAACCAAATTCCTCTTCAGCTTGACTCAGTAATTCTTGAAATAAAGGCTCGTTTAAGAATGATATTGGAATCAAGAACCTCCTCGCTTTCTCTCCAACATACGCTGCAAGATAGCCTTTTGGAACTTTCACTTCTTTTCTAGAAGATTGGCTTGCACTAAATGATGATCGTCTAATACCAGGTAAGCGAAAACCCATTCTTGTTTTTGTTTCTTGACAATAGAATGATCTCAAAGAAGAAAGAAGTGAACTTGATTTCTGATGCTTCAAAATATCGACACAGCTTTGTAATGTGGGACATAAATTTAATTACTCTGTCGAGTAATAAGATCACTTATTCAAAACACGGCACAATTCATATTTTTATCATAATTCTACATAAAGCTTTATTGTCAATGTGAAGAAAACATATGCCGTGTCTGTGGCATGTACAAGTATTGAGTTTAACATGAGCACATCTCACTTGATTTAGTGGCCACGGTTTGCACTCTTATTGAACTTATTGATCCTTGACAGAGGCATCTAAGTCAACTCCATGTGATCTCTCATCTCATGGTGCCCATCATTTTATCAATGATTTCTCTAGCAAAGGGATTTGAAGAAACTATAAATATACTGTCAAATTCATTTAATGAAGCACGACTAATAGTGGCAGGCAAACGGAAGCCCATTTTAATGTTTCAAATAACAATCTCAAATTTATGAAAATGTATTTCAGTTTTGGTGCTTGATTACGTGAATGAGCTGTGATGGTTGTGAGGGAAGATAGTGTATATATAGTCTTCAAATCCATTTCTTTGATAAGTTGTTGTTGTTAAAGGATGGGGTCCATAAGATGAGGAATCACCACATGGTATTGTCTTGGACGGTCAGGTTATAGCTTGCTGCTTACCTTCTGAATGAAAGGCCATTAGATAGACATCCCAATTGAAAGTCAAATGAGATGGCTAGGTTAAACTTAATGCTTTGATTTATTATGGATACTTGTAATTTTGTAGACACACATTAGACATTTCACACGTTTTCTTCATATTGGTAACACGGCTCAGTGCTGACATATAGCTATTAGCAGCTACAAAAAAGTTTCGCTGTTGTGTGAATTCTAATATAGATAGATAATGCATAGTTGGATGCAAATCATCATAAATGTAGGGAGGCAACAGGGAACTTTCATCAATGGCTTGGTCAGCAGTCAAATATATTAGTAGTACATGTTATAAGTAGTAGACATACTGGACATATTTTAAGTTCAACAGTCCTAAGTGTCAAACTAGTCAAAGTTCTCCATTCTTAAACATTGATAAACATACTGTTTACCTTGGGATTTGGTAAACAACCGCTGATCCTCCAAATGGTTACTTATTTGGTTACTCGCAGGATCGATCAGATTGATCATAGGACATAGGTTGATTTTGAAGTTTGATTAAATTGGATAAGGCTTTAAATAAAGAGGCTTTAAATAAAATAAAGAGGCTTCAAGTAAATTGCATGAAGAAAGGACTTGGTAAAATAAACAAGGCTTAAAGTAAAAGGCTTCGACAGGAATGTAAAGAGGAAAGCAAGTAAATTTCTGGAAAAGTAAATGACTTTGATTAATAAAGTTGGTGTTTCACACATACATTTCTCAACAATTCTTTCTCACACGCTGGGTACTCGAATCTATATGAGTGACTTTGTATATAATTGTGAACACACGCGAGAAACTACATGACTACTACTATTTATACTAAAACATCCCAAGTAACCGTCGGGCAGTTACACTGCTTCGAGATCAATCCACTTGGCACGTTCTCAACGTTCGACGCTCCAGATCTTTGCACGTTGCACTTGGTAACTGCTGGAAACCGTTTTCCCTCCAAAAGCTTGAATTTCAAACTGCTCCACTCTGAACCATCGAACACCTTCGTCGAGAGACATCTTCGACGAGAAACTCCTTCGACGTCGAAGGCAACCAACTTCTCCCTTGGAAGAAATCTTCTAAGTACTTTGCCATCTTTCGACGGGCATTTCGACAGACTTAGTCAGTCGAAAACATCCTTCAGCTTTAATGGCTGACATTAATAAAACAAGGGTGTCGAATTTAGGAGCCAACACATACATATCCAATAGAGTGACCAGTCTCACAATATATCCAATAGAGTAACCAGCCTCACAATATATCCAATAGAGTAACCAGCTTTGCATAACCATATCTACTATGTAAAAATAGTCAGTTTGCATAAAATTGGTGCATGCGTGTTTGTGCCTGCAAAGCAAAGCAAATATTTAGGATGATACGGAAAAACATCAGATAATTTAAAAGAATATATAGTTTGGTTGGGAGGGTTCGCATTTCAGATTTCCACTCAAGAGGAAAAATCAAAATTAAAAAAAAAATTCCTGATGCGCAAAAGTTGTCTCAACTAGTCAATCCTATTTTTCTATGTTATCATTCATGACTTTTTTTTTTTGCAGTATGAATTAATTATAGGCCATTCAAATGAGAAACTGTAAGATTCATCTTCGTTGCACTTGCAGGGAATTGTAGACCTTCCATTGGATGATAGTACCATTGCATGCATGTTCATAATTTGTCTTTTCTGAGTTTCTCTTGAAATGCATGTTGAGTAAAGTGCTTTTCACTGGTAGCTTTTACCACTGTTTGCGCTTTCTTTAATTTCATTCATTTTTAGGCACTTCCACGGCGGGGTCAATCTCAAAACACCTATCATGTCACTCTTCTATTGAACTAGCAGGATTTAGATATGGGTTTAAAATGTGCCATACTTTGTTTTCTTGCAACATTTACTTCATTGAAAATGCAGAATCCTAATTCACTTTGTAGTTCTTAAATCTACTTCACCTGCAAACTTGATTACATTGTATAATCACATTTTGTATATTATATAAAATATATGACCCTTGATTTGCTTCTTGTTTTCTTCTCCAGCCCCCACATTTTCTTGCCAGAGCTGACGACTCTGCTGGAGAATAATAAGTGGGGTATACCTTAGGATCTAGTTCATCATAATTACTTCTCTTGATTGCTTTGATTGTTTTACTTTTAAGGATTTTGTTTGGGAGTTACTATAGATCCTAACTCGGATCTGGGGACACCTTTTAAGTAAGTAGCAATAAACTGTGAGGGAACTGTACGACTTAGACCGATACGGTTGAAGCAGTAGCTACGTTGATGTGGCACATTGGTTGATACCGGTATCCCTTGTGGAGAAACGAGGAGAATACAGGGCCGCTGCGTGGTGTCGTTAAGCATCAACTGACCTTAGAACCTTTAATCGACCAACTTGATCATTAGAAAGTAGTGAGATAGCTGGCCTCAGTGTAAAGTTGGGAACTGGTTGATACTCGATGCTACACTCATTGAGACCATACTCTCGAGATAGTTTCGGCCGCAAGAAAAGATTGCGTGAGCTGAAACCATGACCGATGGAGGATGGTCAGTGATATTGAGATCCTCTAGAACTCAGTTACTTTTACTAAGACAGATTGAAACCAACTTAACTTCAAGAGGGTACTACCTTTGACTTCATGCAAGCCTTAAACCTAAGGGTTTTGTGTGATTTGACTGTGTTTGCAATACCTGTTGTTTGCTATACCAGTGGTTTATCATGACATCATGCATCATAACATGACATTCATGCTTCATTACACTAACCATTTCAAAGACCAAGGGAATTTATCTTTGTTCTGTTTTGCAGATTATGGCTTCCGTACACATAAATACCATCTGAGTCAACTTTGTGCAAATACCTGCCCAACTTAAAGAGCTAGCCTCAAGAGTTTCTGAGACTTTTATGTTCATTAAGAGACACAGTCAACTTCTCAGCCTGGTCACTTCAAATCTTGATGAGCAGATGATGAGTGTACTTTTCCAGTTCTTCGATCCTGTGCATCATTGCTTCACCTTTTCAGATTACCAGCTGGTTCCCACCTTGGAAGAGTTCTCTCACCTATTGGGCATATCCATTCTTGAACAGGTGCCCTTCACAAGTATGGAAGAAGTTCCTAGACCAGAAGACATTGCCTCAGCTCTGCATTTGAAACAGGCTGATCTAGTATCCAATTGGGAAACACGAAGCAGAGTCAAAGGTTTTCTAGCCAAATTTCTGATAGACCAGGCTCAACTATTCTGAGACAATTTGGATTTTCATGCTTTTGAACATGTCTTGGCTCTCCTTATCTATGATTTGGTTCTCTTCCCAAATCCGGACTCCTTTGTAGATGTGAATGCTGTCAAAATTTTCCTTTCTCGCAATCCTGTGCCTAACTTGCTGGATGATATCTTGCATGCCCTCTATACTCGTACCGTGCGAAGAAGAGGGACTCTTATGTGTTACATGCTGTGATCGGTGGATCTGGAACTGACTGTTTAACGCTGGTTCGCGAAATGTCGCGGAAGCAAGAGTCGCCACCGTCTTTTATTTTCTCCAAATGGAAAGGACAAAAGCACAGAAAAATTCCTTATAGAGATTGCTCTCGGTTCGGGAGGTAGGTTATAGAAAGGGAAGGTGTTAACACCCTTTCTATCCATGGTTATCCATGGGCTCTTAGATACTTGCTCATTGTATTTTCAAAATGGTTTGTTTGCTTTTCAATTGTGGGTTTTAAAAAGTTTCTTTGAAAATTTCAGTTCGACTCTTGTATCTGTCCTCAAGAGTGTTTGAAAAAATGCTTTCGAAAGCTTTTTGAAAATGTGTTGGTGTGAAAAGTATTTTTGATTTGTTTTGAAATTAGAGCAAGTATCTAGAGTCGTCTACCTACCCTAAGGAATTCGTCTGTGTAAATGTCCTTTAAAGTAGTGCCATCCCACCATTGAGAGGTAGGTAGCACCACCGTTGGAGGTGTTCGGGTCAATTCGAGGTTCGGGACATGGTGATCACCAGAGCAATGGGAAGACACCTTAGAAGCTACCCTCATGCCAGGTTCCCGGATCATGAGGACTTACTAAGACATCATCTACTCGACGATCACCTTTCGAGGAAAGGCAACAGTGAGGCGTACCCTAGGGGTGGTGTGTGATTTGTGTGTCGTTTTCATTTATTTTTGTCTTGTCATGGTATAGGTGATCTACGCGTTTGTTTTTATTTAATCATTCATTCTTGCATGCCATTGTTTAACAGTTTAAGAAAGCGCAGAAAGGTAAAATTCTAAACTATTACAAAAGGCGCGGGTCCACATCGCCAAAATTAAACCAGGACCCGATTTGACAGAAAAATAAAGAATTAAAGTGCGAAAGATTAATATTACACGGCTTCGGGAGAATTACATAAATATTTACAAGAAAATAAATAAAGTGCGCGAATATGAATTAAAATTGGAAACGAGGGCGTTGGTCCCTTTTTAATTAAATTAAATTAAATGATTGAATTAATGAAAATTAAAATGAAAGGGAATTATTTTTGGTATTTTTGTATTTTATGATTTTAATGAAATTGAATTAAATTGAGAAATTAACCCTAATTCTAATTTTTTATCTATTAAGAAAAAATATTAAAGTTAAACCTAAATTAACCTAATTAATTACATGGTAATTTAATTACAAAAATAAATAACATTTAATTATTAATAATGGTGAAAAAAGAATAAAGGTAATTAAAAT